CTCACTATTTTGAGTTTTGCATTTTGTCTTCTATCTATTGTAGTATCATAATTTTTTACTTGCTATTATCTGTAATGTATTAGCTTAGATTGTTGTTGTTTTTTTGTTTTTTTTATCTATTTACTGTTTTGTAACCTTTTATTCCTTTTTAAACTTTTGTAACCATTGCCAATCCCTCCGGGGAATGTGTAAGTGTTAATAAAATTATTATATAGCTGTTACATGCTATGCCGAATATAAGTGGGATAAGTTCTTCTTAAAATGTAGAGGAATTCATCTTTAAATCATGTTATTAAAATAGATCCATGGTGTGAAGTGTTTATTTTTTCTCCCTCCAGTCAAACTCTGATGCCATACAACAATCCTCCAAGCAACGTGCACCAAGAACCCCCTCTGGAGGCAAATCTGGTGTTACCTGGGCTTCTTTCACCTCCAGCACTTCTGGTGCACCATTTTTTCCATTCCATGGATTGATGGATTATCCGGCAATAAGTGGCAAGACGATGATAACAGGTCAGTGTCATGTTTTAGTGCAGTTCAAATTGAGGTGATTTGCGATTAAGAGAGGGTGTAAGTTGCTTTGTTACAGGTATTCGTCAAACGGGGACTAATTATGATGATCAGATTGATGATTCGGTCTCCATCCGTCTGTTTGGAGTCATATTTCATCATATAGGAATACATGTTCATGTCAGTTTGTTCCATAATCAGATCATAGATGGTCGACTGGCATCCATCTTGTTTTATTGAAAATGTAGTATCCTGGACAGAATTTGTTTATTTTCATTCAAATTTGATACAAAACATTATGTTGAGATACATGTCCATGATGATTTGTTTCATGTTTCGTATCTCTGTACATGAGCCTGGACAAATGAAATTCAGTTTGGATACAAAAAATGCATGAATAGCATATCCAGTTTCTGACCATATATTACAATTTTGGGTCATTTAATACATCTAATTTCTGTTGATACTAGACCAGCCAATTATTCACTCTAAATTATTAACTATGCTACTTTTACTTTATTACTTTATTTTTGGCATGAATAACATTCCAATGGGGACTATGTCATTACCAATAACTTGTATTTTTAATGAATCTGTGGATGACATATTATTTAACTATTGAACTTTGGAAGCACCACTATTAATCACTGGGTTTTAATTTTGCTTATTTCACTGACTGGAAAATGCGCTAAATTAAAACCCAGTGAATATGTAAAATTTAGCATAGAACACATTATCTAAATGATAAAACCATGAATTTAAAACCCACTGAATATGCCTGAAATGATAAATCAGCGAAATTTAAACCCAGTGAAAATTAGTCATTTTACAGTAGGTGATTTTCTGTTCACTGCATATCTCGCATATTTGATTTTAGATCTAAATTTCTTTTTTATAGCTCAATTTGAAGAGGGGAATATTGCGTTGAGGTACCCTTACAACATCAAATGTGTATAGCACATTAATTTATTAAGCGGGAAAATACCCCAAAATATTCTCATGTTGAATTCCATGCAATGTTTTGACACCACTATGACCTTTGTCCTGTTTTTACATTCCATTTCACACATAATGTGGGATCTTGCATTGAATGGATAGTGTAATATAAATCATGATTTATGGCCAAGAAACAAAAAATGTCCATTGACGGATGTTGTTCAAATTTGGTGCTAACATAGAACATCCTAGTTATAAAACATGTCACTTTGTCTGTGCATGAAGTTCAAAGACCGACTGGTGACCATTAGGTTTTTGTTCAAACTTAGTACATACATTGAACATAACCCAGTTGCATGTCAGTTTTATTTTTAGATCAGATTAAGAATTGTAATCTGGTAGCCATTTTGTTTTTACTGAATGCTGTTTCAGAGACACATTTCTGATACGTCTTGTTTACAGGTGTTTACATGTATGTATACACACGCACTTCCATATAAACTGACACTGAAAACTAACAGGGCATTTTCTCTTGTCTTTCAGACGTCACATTCTCCAACTTCGGTAGTGCTTGTGGAACAACTGATGTTGCTATTATCACAAATCCTGCCAATGGTGATGCTATGCATCCAATCTTTATGACAGGAGCAAAGTTTGTGGATGTCCTACCCACATCAAAGGTTTTTATACACTGGCCATCTTTAGAGTAAGTTTACATGTATTTGATTTTCACAAATACATTGATCATCATATGACTGTAATATAAAAAAATGTCTATGAATTATAGTTATATGTGGTGTATTTCCTGGTATTTCATCATTCTGTGGTGCAATCTCAAGCAATGACTGCAACTACACTTTAGATGTATTTTAGCTTTTTATGTATGTACACATAGCAAGTAATAATTGCGAAGTACCATGATTATAATTGTGCACAGAGATTGGGTTTACCTCATTTTTTCTTCATAATTTCAAATATTAGTATAGAGAATTACCTCCCCCATAATTTCAAACTATGTGAAAAACACAAGTCAGTTTTAAATCACGCTAGATTACTAAAGATTTGTGTTGTAAACTGTGATAGTATATGGTGTAGCAAGCTATAATTGGCTTACACAGTATGTTTAAAACTATGTGCAGAGAAAGTTGTGTTGATCTGGCATGGTGATGTTTAAGCTAAATAATTCATTCTAAATAGTACACTTTATTAATATCATGTTTCATCACTTTGATTTCAGTTTTGTAAATCCAGCAGATTGTGTAGACATGGATTGTGATGGAAAGAAGAAAGCCATTATCAAAGATCTTGATGGTGGATTGTTGGGGACACCAGGAACAGTGATACCAAAGTCTGAATATGAATGGGATGGTGATAGGAGACATGGAGTTGGTGATTACCGTATTCCATTACCTCTACTGACCAATCTAGATGGAAGTCGTAAGAACATTGATGATGTAGCACCGAACAAAGGTATGTACTCTTGATTTGTCTTGCACTGAAATTCAAATCCATAATACACAACTAACCATATTAATGTACTAATTGAGGTCGCAAAAAAGGAAAAAATATGTTAAAAATTATCTGATTGCAGTAATTTTAATGTTACAAATGTTATGATTTATCATTTCTGCAATTTCGAATCTGGATCTTGGTTGTGAATGTACAGATTTTGTTCAAGCTTTGTATGTACATTGAACATTTTGGGACCTTCATGCATCAGGGTCCGTAGCATTTTTTTGAGGTCTGGAAAGTCTTTGAGTTGTCTTTAAATTACAGGAAAAATCAAAAAAATATTTGAAAAGTCATTAAATTTCTTCGTTTGGTAATTCATTTTAAAAAGGCCCATTTTCTCTGCATAGAGTCTTTTTTTATAAAGTGTTTTCTACTTTAGTTTTGACAAGTGTCAGCAGTAATTGCTATCCTCATGCCCAAATTAGGGGTTAAAATGTCTTGGGGAAAAATGCAAGAAAGTTTGGGGAAAAGTCTTGGAAATCATTTGGCTCTTGGTGCTATGGACCCTGTAGCATGTAATTTTGTTAGGATGCGTGTCTCTGTAAACATTTAAAACAAAGGCAATTAGCATACTGCCGACGTTGCGACGATCATAATTTGCATGAAATTACATATCCGTTGGAAGACGATTCCATTGATTGGGGTTTTCTGTAATGTTTTTTTTTTTGTAACAAATTTATACAGCATTGTCAGGATTTAGTAGGAATATGAACACTGAAATAAAAATATATATATTCAGATTAAAACTGCACTATGAAACCATACAACTTCCTGTGTCACTTACACTGCCACTGTCAGTGGTCAGGAAAAAAAAGAAGCCGACATTGCTATCTGGGAGTAAAATGTCGGCAAACTTCGATAAAATGAAACTAACATTGTTTAAACTATCATAACGTTCTCATAAAAGACTCTCAGATTATAATTCAAGGTACAAAATAAACTTATGAAACGTTCTCAGAGATGCATTTTTGGGGTACAAATCTTCGTCGCCATGTTGGACATCAGCAGACGCAGATCTACTGAAACGATGAAAACTTTCTACATCATCCTAGTATTTAACCCACAGAAATGCTAACAATGTAAACTATAAATATTAATTTAACAATGCGATATTCTAAAATATAATTTAACCCGATTTTTCAGCAATTTTCCTGATCTGTTACAACAAAGAGAGACAAAATGGCTGATGTCGCTAACCTCGACAAAAAAAAGCGTTATTGTCTAAAGTTATGATTGAAACTAGTTATGTTATTCGTAACCTAACAGTAAAATACCCAAACAATTACGTAGTAACGAATACTAACAGCATGACAAGCACCACCATTTAATGTAATGACCAACTGATGATGTAATAGTCAACCAATACTGCAATGACACTGTGAAATCATTGATGCAAAGACCAATTATTAATGCAATGACTCCAAGCATTTATTTAATGATATTTAATGATGATGAGTGTGCATATCATGATGACTGGCACACCTATGAATGTCATGATTTAGACTACATTATGATGGTAATTGAAAGATGTGCAATTGTCTTTAATTCAGGTATTATACGGAATGATGAGTGTGTCTTTCATGATGACTGGCATGCCTATGAATGTCATGATTTAAACTACATTATGATGGTAATTGAGAGTATGGATGAAGATACCGAAACACGACGTGTATCACCAATTGGTCTTGTAGCTGATGGTTACATGGATTTAATAAATGGACCCATGGATCAAGGATGGTGTCTTGGGTACACGTGTCAGGAACGCATTAGCACCTTCTATACTATTGTTTCCAGTGGAAAGATTTATGACATGGCATTCACCGGCACCAATCCCCAAAACCTTCGTTTTCACCTCCTCAATGCTGATGATGATGAAACTGTGCGAATTGATCTGTGGGGAGCAAATCCACAACGTTTAGATGTCTACCGCAATAATGTGTATATTGCACCAACAAATGCTCAGTTGTCTGGTTCAAGCTTCACTTGGCTCCCTCGGAATCCTTCTCTTCCTGATGACCAGTATCTCCCAACAATAGGTGGTTCAAGTGGACAAAACTTTCACGACAATAAGGTTCAAACTCTGTATTTTCTGATCCGTGGATCTGATGTAATAGAAGTTCGCCTTAGTCCTGTAATAATTGTTGCATTTGGCATTGATCCTGTCCATATTGATGACTTCTTCGAGATTAACTTGATTTCAAACCTTGCTAACTTGTTTGGTATTAGCGCAGATCAAATCCGGGTAGTTGACATTGTCAGACAGAGCAAAAGACGTAGAAGAGCTGTAGATCCTGCAACTGTGACAGTGGAAATTGGTGATCCTCCAACCCCAACTATTGATTCATTGGCTGTTAATGGCACTGATAATTCTACATTTTATGCCAGTGAGTACTGAATTTCATTGTATTATGGTGATGAGCATGTATTTAATACTGGTAACAAGGGCAGATCCTATAAAAAATAGAAAATCGTGTTAAGATAAAATTTTATGTCATATGCTATAATAATAACATTTATTTAGCTAAGTAACTATTCTGTGAAGAAAAGCATGTTCTTGAATGACATCTTTGTGTATTGTGTGCCTCATGTCAGCCAATGACCATAACATGCCACTGTACTGTTTTTTGACAGTATATCTATTATATGTATGTTTGTGTTGAAAAAAAAGAATGACGTTTTTGTGCAGCTCAACTCAGTGTTTTATACTAGCTGTTTGTATAAATAGTTCTTCATCAACCTGCTGAAATTATAGATCTATAAACACCTCAGAGGTAAAAAAGGATGTGTGTGATAATAATAAAAATAAGTATGTCAGTGCTCTTGAACATCTTACAGATTTGTGTACTGAATAGTATTTACCTCTACAAGAGTGCCCTAGAAGGTTGCCATGTATGATTGAGTGTCACAATTTCTGTTTTAAGATTTATTTGGCATGATACAATACCACTACAGTGGAGGAAATTTGGTTTCAGTTATCCTCAGCACTCATTGTCAACCTTTGATTCACCTTGAACATTTGTTTAATGCCATTTTGGCAGCAGTGTTGCATATCTGCAATAATCTGTACTGACACTGATATACAGTGTTTGCTCCTTCGACAATGCTTTCTACATCGTTTCTACACTATGCTGGCCAATAATGTTTATTCTTTGCGCATTGGCCAACACTTTCCATGATCTGACCCTCTGGCTAACACTGTTTCTACACTGATAGCTGGCCAGCAGTGTTTATAGATGACCCTTGGCCAATGCTTTCTATGCTGGTCTCCTGGCCACACTGTTTCTACACTGATAACTAGCCAACAGTGTTTATTGATGGCCCTTGGCCAATGCTTTCTATGCTGGTCTCCTGGCCACACTGTTTCTACACTGATAACTAGCCAGCAGTGTTTATTGATGGCCCTTGGCCAATGCTTTCTATGCTGGTCTCCTGGCCACACTGTTTCTACACTGATAACTAGCCAGCAGTGTTTATTGATAGCCCTTGGCCAATGCTTTCTATGCTGGTCTCCTGGCCACACTGTTTCTACACTGATAGCTAGCCAACAGTGTTTATTGATGGCCCTTGGCCAATGCTTTCTATGCTGGTCTTCTGGCCACACTGTTTCTACACTGATAGCTAGCCAACAGTGTTTATTGATGGCCCTTGGCCAATGCTTTCTATGCTGGTCTCCTGGCCACACTGTTTCTACACTGATAGCTAGCCAACAGTGTTTATTGATGGCCCTTGGCCAATGCTTTCTATGCTGGTCTCCTGGCCACACGGTTTCTACACTGATAGCTAGCCAACAGTGTTTATTCTTGGCCAGTTGGCCAACGCTTTCTATACTGGTCTCCTGGACATCATTATTAAAAATATATTTTCTATTTATCAGATTCCAATTATACTGGTCTCAATGATAGTTTATCATTTGAGGAATTAGAAGAGATAGCATCCTACCTTGTAAATGAGGGTCAGAGTGGTGGATTGGATGATGTGTTGGGTGTAAAAGTATTAACATTATCAGTCACTGATCCTGTAGCACCCGCAGTAGATTCAACTGGTGGTGTGAGAGCAACAAATGAAACTGGTGGGCCAGCTGATGGAGATGTCAGGTATTTTACTCTTCACTTGAACACCTAAAATGTCAAGTTAGTGCTCCAATGGTTAAGTGTTTCAATGAAATTTGTATCCATTTGATGAAATCAATTTGCATGACAATAGG